TATATATATATATATATATATATATATATATATATATATATATATATATATATATATATATATATGAGCATGTATGTGTAGCGGTTTCTGTCCGCGAGTGATACAGCTTCCTAGCAGCCTGAATGCAAGTTGATCGAAGTCAGTGCTTAATAACTATTTACATTGCTAGTGCATGCAGCAACGGGGCTTGGTTTTTCTTGCATGCGGTGTTTACTTGTATGCTAGTTGCAGCGAGTTGCGTTCATGTTCATGATGGGCTGCCCCCTCTCCCCATCAGCCCTCGGCCGTTCTGCCGCTGTGTTTAGAATATCTAATCTCTGGAGAGAAATTTCAGCTGCTCTGTATGAACTTAGATATTTTACTTTTTTACAGTTTACGATGATCCCTGGTTAAGACCGAGTAATACCCCAATGCTCGTGCCACTGCATGCTTCACCGCGACACGTGCTAGCAGCTATCAGTCAATAGTACCGAGGAAACGCCGTGCAGTGCATCAGCTTTCCTTGCAATAAACAATATCCTTCATGCAAGATAGGAAATGCGGGTGTATGAAGCTGGTTGTTAGGGTTTAGGGTTTAGGGTTTAGGGTTTAGTGTTTAGGGTCTAGGGTTTAGGGTTTAGGGTTACCTGACGGTAGCCAGGTCTACCGTCAGGTAGGAAAGTGATGTTTCGGTGTTGTGCACTTTAAATATAGATATTCCTCGCAAAAGAAGAAAATAAAGCAATTTTGATGAATTTTTCTGTGTTCAGATTCTTAAATATTGCACAAGGGTGCATTCATTACTTGTATGGATTACAGTGATCATCTCGCAATCTATGTTAAGTTGATTTCATGAATCAGGTTTACAATGAACTGACGAGTTTCTGGTGCCTAGCAGCGAATGAAATATAAGTACTTTTGGTACTATATATACTGAAAACAAGAAAACATAGAGTTTCTCATCGCGGAGCAAATACTTCTGCTTTCTTCCCGTGCAGTGACGTGAGTATCCTTCTATCATTTGATATTTATTTAATTATTATTAGTATTACTGATATTATACCTATTATGGGGGGAAATTATGGATTTCTGAAACATAACTTTCAGAAATATTTTCTTTTTTTTTTTGCCAGGCACCGTGGTGATTCCTCATTTCTATGCATCCGGCGGGTGAGCTGGTCGTTATGAGCTGCTTCTTTGAAGCGTTTGGTGCTACAAACTTTTTCGCGGATTTTACACTTCAGCTGAGGAACTCGTGAGGCGCAGTAATTTAAACAAGTTTCTATAATATTTTCCCCATAAACAATTGATATAAACTTGCAGTCGTCGCCAGGGTTCCGGGGTGCAGAGGCCTAAGGATCTGGGTTTCTATAGAAAACTTTTTGCCCCTGCAATGCTTTCCAGAGCACGTTGCTGCAACTCTTGCTGTACAGCAACCCCACTTGCATGCGTCACCTATCCCCGCTTTGATTGATGCACTAGCGCTGTATACAATTCTTAGAAGCTTACTTCACCGCCATCAGCCAGCCAGTGTATGTATACAATTGTTAAAAGCTTACTTAGACCTCATTAGCCATCCCGCATACAACTAGAAATACATTTTTCTTTCTTACAGAGCATTCAACACCAATCTATGCATGCATCGCCACCGTAGCCAATTGATATACAGTTCCTTGCCCTTCAGAAAATAACAAATGCATACAAACGTGGAGATATAAATTTTTATCTGACAAGCCCTGCTACGCTTTCCTTATAGCGGGCGGGGGAGCTCTGTAAACCCCTTATCTGTGTAGCAGCTGAATTCATGAATTCACTAAGTTCGCGGGAAAGCGTATGAACCACTGCATATACACTGGAAAATATTCAAGCACAGAAAATATATCGTTAAAAACTTTTATATTTGATCTTAAAATTAAACAAAAAAACATAAAAAATGCTGGATCGCCGCCACTCAAGCCCCAGCTTCGTTGCGCTGACGCCTTATGAGCCCGGAAA